AGAGTTTATCTTTCATGGCTGATTAAGTTCTGAAAGCACCAAAGGGCTTGGTACATTTAACAATGATTGTCTCCTCCGTTACAAACTACAGGACAAACTTTTTATAATGTGCATTGTTAGAACGGGAGTGATTGTATAGCGCAGCTGTAGACCTGCAGTTACCAGAAGTGCGGTACACTTTCAGTTTCTAGCCTAATATGGCCAGCTTCCTTTTCGTGTGCACCTCAGGGGCTGACAGTATCACCATCCAAGGATGCACATCCCACCTTACTAAGCTAGTCAGAACCTTGGCATCTCGTTTGACCCTCAACTATCTTTTCTACCGCACATCTGTGCCATGACCCACTCTACCTTCCTCCATCTCCGCATCCCAACTTCACCCGACTTCAAGACTGAGATAGATAGATTTCTTATTGCAAAAGAGTTTAAGGGATATGGGGATTAGGCAGGATCAGGTTATTAGCTGCAGTTAGATTAGAAGATCAGCCATGATTGAATGGCGGGGCAGGCTCGAAGGGCCGAATGGCCTACTCCTGCTCCTACATGTTATGTTATGACTTCGCCACACCGCAGACCGCTGAACTCCTCAAACACACATTCATAACATACACAACAACAACAACAAGCTTTCATTTATAGAGCGTCTTTCACGTCGGGAGGACGTCCCAAGGCGCTGGACAGTTGGGTTGGGATCCAAGCAGGCGGAAAATGGTCAGGGTGAGGGGAGGGCAGGAGCGAGGAGGGGGTAGAGAATCGAGAGGGGAGCTGAAGGCACGGTTGAAGAGAAAGGTTTTGAGACCGGCCTTGAAGGAGGAAAGGGAGGAGGCGGCGAAGGCACTGGGGGATAGGGTTCCAGAGCCTGGGGGCTGAGAAGCTGAAGGCCCGGCCACCGATGGTAGGGCGGTTGGGGCGGGGATGTGGAGCAGACCGGAGCCAGAGGAACGGAGGGTACGGGCAGGTAGATAGGGGGATAGTAGGTCGGAGAGGTAGGAGGGAGCGAGGCCGTGAATGGCCTTGTAGGTGAGGATGAGGATCTTGAATTCGATCCTCTGGGGGATGGGGAGCCAGTGGAGGCGAGCGAGGGTGGGAGTGATGTGGTCCCGAAGCCTGGTGCGGGACAGTACACGAGCTGCAGAGTTCTGAATGACCTGCAGCTTGTGGAGGGAGGGGAAGGCCGCGAGGAGAGAGTTCCCATAGTCCAGCCTTGAGGTGACAAAGGCGTGAACCAGGGTTTCAGCAGCGTGAGGGGTGAGGTAGTGTCGTAGTCTGGCGATGTTCCGGAGGTGATGGAAGGCGGTGCCAGTTGTGGTGCGGATATGAGGGAGAAAGGACAGCTCAGGGTCGAACAAAACGCCGAGGTTCCTGACTGACTTTGAGAGGTGGAGAGTGCAGCCTTGGATGCTGATGGTGTCAGCGCCTGAGGTGCGGAGGCGCTGATGTGAGCCAATCAGGAGGGCCTCAGTTTTGCACACATTGAGCTGAAGAAAGTTGTCTCTCCAGACTTGACTATGCAAACTCCCTGCTTATCAGCCTCCCCAACTCCTCCCTCCATAAGCTGCAGATCATCCAGAACTCTGCAGCTTGTGTCCTCTCCCGTACCAGGCTCCGTGACCTTTCACCCCCATCCTTGCCAGACTCCACTGGCTTCCGAATAAGGCCGAATGTCAACAACAACAAATTGCATTTATATCAAATGCAAGGATTACTATTAATTATTTAAGAATGTCTACTTGTCTAAGACCTTCTTATGACCTTGGATATTTGATTCCTTTCTAAATCCAATGTTATAACATCTATAAAATGTTCATGTTTAGTTGTCAGCAATTCTACAAGGTCACTTACATCCATGTAATAATAATAATCGTTGGATTTGATATTGCGCCTCATCACATCTTCAAGACATCTCAAAGCACTTCACAGAATATATTGTAATCAAATTGACCGTATATTTTGTGGGCAAAACATATTATTAATACCATCACCAATTTATCTTGGCTATTATATGACTGCATATTTGTAGGCAAATACAGGAGCCATTTTGCACATACCAATATCCCACAAACAGTCACAAAGCCAATTTATCTGGGAGTAGAGCACTGGGAAAAGATAATAATAATATTAATAATAATAATACTTGCATTTGATATAGCGCTTTTCACGTCAGGAGGACGTCCCAAAGCGCTTCACAGAAGACACTGTAAAGTGAATTGACTGTATATTTGTGGGCGAACGCGGCAGCCAATTGCGCACAGCAATGTCCCACAAACAGTCGTAGATTGAAAATGACCAATTTATTATTGTTTTGGGTTTTGGAGGGATTATTATTAGGCTCTGTGTGGAGTAAGGAAACTTGCCCAAGGTTTCGCCCTCTGCCTGGAATTGAACTCAGGTCTCTCACTTGCAAAGCGAGTGCTCTAACCACTGAGCTACAGGACTACAGATCTCTTTTCAATTCGTGCCATTGGAACACTAACCTCCGCCTGACTACGTGGATAGAACCTTGGATTAACATTCTCATCCGAAAGATGAAGCGTACAACAATGAGTACTTCTGCTCTATAATATAACTGAAATGTACATCCGAACTGTGAGCTGAAAGTCCCAACATAGGGCTTCAACCCATAACCTTTTATGCTAGATGCAGAAATTCCACCAACTGAATTAAGATGACCTCTAAGATAATAATAATAATGTTTCTCCCACAAATATACAGTCAATTCACTTTATAGTATATTCTGTGAAGCTCTTTGAGACGTCTAGAAGATGTGAAAAGTACTATATCAAATACAAGGATTATTATTATTAATCCTTGCATTTGATATACAGTAAAACTCACATAAGTCTTATCTTTATAAATCATATAATCGCCTAAGTGGTGCATTCATCCAAGTCCCGTTTAGTTTCCTATCAAAACCACTTAGATTTCTTTGCACTAGTCATGTTTTTCATCTCCTGATGCATAATGCTGTTCCCATATCCTCCATTACTCCCATGCTTATCAGCTGCATTGAATTGCGGGAAATTACATTTTATACCATTCGAAGAATGTGCACTTACCGGCCGACTGCATTGCATCGCAAGAAATGTAGTGTTGATTCGTCGCAGCACACACATAAGAACTTGACGTAAGTCATATTAGATGTTATGGTCCCGACTGATATGGCATACAAGTATTACTGTAGTGCCTGTCACACCAGGAGGACGTCTCAAAGTGCCCTGTAAGATATACTGTGGAGTAACTGTATATTTTGTGGGTGAACGTGGCAGCCAATTTGCACACAAACAACTTTACATCACAATACAAAATTACATTCCAAGGCTCTGGACAGTCAGGGATTTGGACCCAAGTGGGGGCGGGGAATGACCTTAATAATAATAATCCTTGCATTTGGATATTATTATTATTATACACTTTTCACGTCGGGAGGACATCCCAAAGCGCTTCACAGAATAGACTATAAAGTGAATTGACTGTATATTTGTGGGCGAACGCAGCAGCCAATTGCGCACAGCAATGTCCCACAAACAGTCATGGATTGAAAATGACCAATTTTATTATTGGTTTTGGAGGGATTATTATTAGGCTCTGTGTGGAGTAAGGAAACTTGCCCAAGGTTTCGCCCTCTGCCTGGAATTGAACTCAGGTCTCTCACTTGCAAAGCGAGTGCTCTAACCACTGAGCTACAGGACTCCCGGACCTTGGAGTGAATGCCCAATTTTGTTTTGGAGGGACCGTTGGTCAGGACACGGGTGAGAAACTCTCTTCTCATTCCACATAGAACGGACAGACGGGACCTCGTTCTAATGTCTTATCAGAAGGCGGGAACACAACCACATCGGATCCCTTCACGGCCGCATTTTGGCGGCAATGTTGTTCCGAGCACGTGATGCGGTTACGTCACGTGGCGGGGGACTGCTCAAGCGAAGCGCATGCGCCCAGCGCGCGCGCACGCACAGAGCTGTGAAAGACTACAATCCCGGGTTGCCCGGCGTGCGCAGGCGCACACAGCAAGGCGTGGCGCTGACAAAGCGCAGCTCCGCGGGTCGCCATTTCGGGCCGGTGATGCGCATGCTCCCTTCCAATATCGGAGCTCCCCCGCGCGCTCAGATCGAGCGGACGGTGAACCAATGGGCTCAGCGCGCGCATGCGCGGCGGCCAGAAATCAGACTACGTTTGTAGCCCAAAGTCAGCCAAACACTAGCCCAAAAGGAGCCCAATGTTACGCGTTGTCCACAACGGGGGAGCAGAGTGCCCGACTTAGGTTAGTTAGTGATTGTTAAACTGTGTGACAAAAAAGTCTTCAAAGGGGGAGAAAAAGACACGTTCCTCAGGTTTAAATTGCAATGTAAACGGCTCTCACGCGGAGTAACAATAAACACACGGCCGATTGGGCGTCAACCCACCAGCCCTGGGCGACAATGCCCGGCCACAGCAGCGGCTCAGCGCGCTTGCGCAGGTTCGCCATCGCGCCGACTCCCGGCGGTCCTCGCGCGCTCTGGCGCAGGCGCACTCCCTGGGAACGGCTGCAGTCGAAGGAGCTGACATTAGAAACTTAAAAGCCTGCGGTTTTGTCAATGTTTCCGCCTCGTAGTCCAGTCCGCGGTAACTCAGGCCCCCGGTCTGCGCCTCCCCGACCGCTCAGCCTCGAGGTGAACCAGAGGGAAACCGCTTCTCCCGCCAGCGAGCAACACAGTCTGACCGTCCGGGGCTAACCCTCGCCGGCGGGAGGGCAGCGAACAGCCACAGCATCGGCCGCTCGGCCACGGCAGAGAGGAGCCGCTCAGGTACACAACACAGAGGAGTCGCTCAGGTACACAACAGAGAGGAGTCGCTCAGGTACACAACACAGAGGAGTCGCTCAGGTACACAACACAGAGGAGCCGCTCAGGTACACAACACAGAGGAGTCGCTCAGGTACACAACAGAGAGGAGTCGCTCAGGTACACAACAGAGAGGAGTCGCTCAGGTACACAACACAGAGGAGCCGCTCAGGTACACAACACAGAGGAGCCGCTCAGGTACACAACAGAGAGGAGCCGCTCAGGTACACAACACAGAGGAGTCGCTCAGGTACACAACACAGAGGAGTCGCTCAGGTACACAACACAGAGGAGTCGCTCAGGTACACAACACAGAGGAGTCGCTCAGGTACACAACACAGAGGAGTCGCTCAGGTACACAACACAGAGGAGTCGCTCAGGTACACAACACAGAGGAGCCGCTCAGGTACACAACACAGAGGAGTCGCTCAGGTACACCACAGAGAGGAGCCGCTCAGGTACAGGTATCCTGGAGGCGCCAGTTCAGGTCATGGGATGGCAGAGACTCAGCTGTTGGCAACATTGAGGTCTTGAAACACTTCATTACATTATAATACTTCTAATAGTAACCTTTAGATTTAGTGCAGTGCCTTTATAACGGGAGGATGTCTCGGAGCGCCACACATGATGTTGTGTAAGGTGGAGTGACTGTGTTTTGTGGGTACATCAAAATGATGCCCTTTTTCTCTGCTGTAAATTTCTGTTGAGGTACATTGGTTTGTGTAGAACAGTTGGTCTATCACCTGCCTGTTCAAAACTAAGTTTTCCATACTTTACTGACTGATTTTTCATTTCAGATTGATTTTTAACTTACAATTTGGGATTTTATGTTCATTTATATATTTTCATAATTTCTGTTTCAAGTACCCAGCACCACCCTAAACGTGGGTTGTTTGTGCAGTTTGCTTTAAATTGGGGGGAGGAAAGATAACATTTCTATGTGGTGCATAGAATGTGTTGAAAGAAATACTTAGTGCATGATTCAGTTCCTTCCTAATAAATGGGCATGTGTGTTAGTGTGAAGTAATTTAGAAAAAGCTGGAATACAAACTTGACTACTGCCATTTTTCTGTTTAAAAGAAAAAAAATACTTTTTATACATTAGTTCCTGCTGTGGCACTTTTTAAAGAAATGATTTTTTTAAACAAAAAATGCATTTTACTTGAGTTTTGTGAAAATATTGCAATTACTTTTAATTTTCAATGTTGCAATGCAGTGGGTCAATAATTCAATATGTCTCGAAGTTGTGATAAGGCACTATATCAAATGCAAGAATTATTATTGTGACTAAGTTAACATTTTTGTTGCTATTCTATTTTACAATGTATATAGGTCTTCCTATACACATCTTCCTAAAATGTGCAGTTTAGTTGAGTAGAATTGTCCTCGTGGTGTTGTATGATATAAACTTGATATGTCAATTGGTCAAAGTAGATGAAATGTTTAAAAGGTTGATTGAAAAGATCATTGTTCAAAAAATACAGCTGTAATTTTTTTTAATGTAATTGACATAGCTTTTTAATTGTGTTGAACATAGGGATTGTTTGAATGTTGGTTATCTATGCAGTTTATTACTACAGAATGTAAAGCGCCTTTCAGCGCCTTGGGACGTCCTCCCGACGTGAAAGGCGCTCTATAAATGGAATCTTGTTGTTGTTGTAAATGTAGAAATCGAGAACAAGTCATTGACCCATATGTGACAAAAGAGCATTTTGTAATAATATCAGCTAATCTAATCACGTATGACACTTGTGATTTTATTGCTTTTTATTATGCAGCCAGGTGTACAAGCTATTTGGTATATGAGAAGGCTATTCATTGTATTACTTAAGGAGTCTATCTTCCAAAATCATAATCAGATTTGGCAGTTTTCACTTTCACACTGAGCAAGTTTCAGACAGCACTTGTAGTGTTGTTAATGTCACAACTGAAAATGCATTATTAGATATTTTATAGCATGTGGAATGCTTGCCGGCTTTTTAAAGTGGCTTGCCAGCTGGCTTTCTGCCCACATTTTGGATTTTGAAAGTAAATATTCGACTTCACACCCCAACCTTATAAGCAAATCTATGTAGCAATGAAGCATGTTCTACAGTGTTAAGAACATTGAATCAGCTATAATTCTTGCATTTGATATAGCTCTTTATCACATCATTAAAATGTCTCTGAGTGCTTCACATGATTCAGTGTTAAGCACAGAGACCATGTAAATGCATGCAGCAGCCAATTTGTACACAGCAATGTCCCACAAATGTCTGTAATGATTTTCAAAAGTATTTTGGGATGTTCATTCCATGCAATACTATACAAGTTCAGTCTTTTTTAAAAAAACAACTGTTTTGATATTTAATTCCATTTGATGCAAGAAAAGCTGATTCCAAGTACTTGGCTTCTACCTGTGACAGTGAAAAGGTGGAGTTCTGAGAACTGCAATTTCAGCAACAAGTAGTATGGCTTTACAAGCCAGATGGTTCTTAAATACAGTTGTTGATATGTGTTTTTTAAACTTTATTTGAATGTGGCCAAATTTCAGATTACCCTTTTGTTTTATTTTCTGTTGACCAGTTGGGAAATATAACTTTTCAAGGTAACTTTGAAAATGGTTGTAATACTTTGGAGTTCTGTACCTTTTTGGTTAGAGCAGTGGATTCCTGTAGCGTATTGGTTAGAGCACTCGCCTTGCAAGTGACAGGACCCTGGTGTGATTCCTGGACAGGGTGAAACGTTAGCAAGTTTCCTCGCGTCACATGCCTCTGTTTACAGAGCAGAAAGTAGGAGCCCCATTGTTAGTCAATTGGCAGGTGGCTTTTCTGGGGGTAATAATCCCTTTTTGTAAAAAAAGAATAACTTGGTCACTCAATTTGTGGGACACTGCTGTGAGCAACTGGCTGCCGGGCTTTGCCCACAAAATATACAGTCAGTTCACTCCACATTATATTCTGTGATGTGCTTTGAGACGTCTCGAAGACGTGATAAGGTGCTATATCAAATCCAACCATTATTATTATTATTAATTTTATGCACAGACCAGTTGAGATGCATGCCTTTCTTGAACTTCAGTGTTTGTGACTTCTTGGTATCAGCTCTGTTGAGTTGCTACAACAACAGCAGCAAAATTACAATTATAGAGCGCCTTTCACGTCGGGAGGACATCCCAAAGTTGCTAGATACAACTTCACGTTGAATGTTTAGAGTGCATTTGACTGAAGAATTAGTTTTCAGCCCATCTTTCTGGTCATACTTGTATCTTTCTGGTCATACTTGTATTTGGCCAACAACAACCAACCTCCAATTATATATCACTCCACACACGGGGTGGAGTCAAAAGGAAGCAAAATAAAAATAATATGATTTGTACCTTTTTATGGGGGTGGGGGAAGAAAGAGAAGGAACCTTGAAGTGCAATTTATCCATCCCTGGGATCTGAAACTTGACATGAGCATGTTAGTTTATTACATTTAAAATAAGAAAGTATTTACAGAGTATAAATTAAAACTCCTCATGCGTTCATACGTTTTGTTTAAAATTGATTTGGGGGTGCAGTGTTGGAAACTTAATTCTGGTAACTTACAGTTGTGAGAAGGTCTCAGTACATTACATCTTGATCTGATTTAAAATGCTCTATTTGTTTTAGGGAGCATAAGCAAGTCTAATTGGAATTTTGGATGATTAAGCTTAATTCCACGAGCAATGGCAAAAAGGATTTTTAAAAAATGAAATTCAATAAAAGTTAACAATCCTGAGGTCCAATATTCTTTACAAAGGAACAAAGATCTGCACAGGACTGAAAAAGGCTAGTCCAGCCACCCCAGAGTACAAACACGGAGCAACCCTGTAACAAAGCTCCCTGGTTTTGTGTGGCTTCACCTTTTGCACAGGATCACTGTGGAGCAGAACACTAAGTTAGCTGACATACTATGCTCAATTTAAAAAAACACACCTTCTGTGTCACCAGGTTGCTGCTGATGTCACTCTCTGTAAGCCACACACTTTCAGTGACATTTCCCGTAATGATTTGACAACCTAGAAAACAGCCATTTTCTCATTGCTCTTATTATATACTTCAATTGATTTCCTCACCAAATTGGTATACACAATGGAATTCTGATATAACGTGGTAGGTTTGAATGGTAGATTTCTTGGGTTTGAATGCGAGATTGGGATGTTCACAACATTCAATCCTTTGGGGCCAATCTTATTAATTGATGTCCATTTTTAATTAACTCCCTACTAGGAACTTATTGACTTATGTGAGGTGTCTTTCTTGCTCTTGTACACAGTTCATTTTTTGCCCTACAGTTGATCAATATCTCTGTGTGCTTGACTGTTATTTAAAGCTGACATTTGTTGCTATTTGGGAAAAAAAAATAAAGGAAATAAATTGGCATCCAATTGTATTTGGAAATTTTGAATTTTCTTTTCTATGTTTTCTGCTCCAATTCTCTTTTGCTTCCACTCCCTGAATACATTTGACCCATATTTCCTTTCAGTGGAGGTATTGTTTTGTTGGCACCCTCTGGTATGTTGCCCAGATGGCCAGCATGTGTGAATCTTGATAGTGAATGTTGGCACGCTTTGTGACTGCAGAGGGCTGGTTGGATAGTCATCAAACCCAATTCAGAGTCACTGGATAGTAATCAGGGGCAAGAACCCTGACTGTTTCCCCCCCCATACCTTTCCTAACTTGGAGTTCTGTATCTTAGTGGTTAGCACGCTCGCCTCGCAAGTGAGAGGAACGACTTCTGTCTCTGCTGAATCAGTTAGCTCAAGAAAGAACACATTTTTAACACTAAATCTTAACTCACGTGGAGATTGGGAGAAGTTGCAAAGTTAATAAACAACTGACTTTAAAACTGTTTTTTCCTCGTTAAAACATAATCCAAACTTTTTTTTGTTCTGCATGTACAGTTGAGTTTGAAAAGTTTGAAATAAATAAAAAAGAAACAGACTGGTATAGCGAAAGGCTAGGGAGGAGGAATTAGAATGGATGGAGGTTCATGTTGAGTATAAACACTGGTAAAGACTAGTTGGGCCAAATGGCCTGGTTTGGTGGTGTAAAATTCAATGTAATTCTTATTTCTGTTGTCTAAATCCACGCACAAATAGTGAGATTTTCAGTCAGCCGACCTGAAATTGTTTTTGCCTGCTGGAGATTGTAGAGTTGGAAGCGTTCTAAGGGTAGGCAATAGCCTCAGTGTGTCAGTCGGGGGAATTGATTGGAATTAAATTTTGCTTGTGAAGGTTACTTTGATCTCTGTGACAGTCGCCTGAATCCGTGCTGCTCTTGTGGCTTCGAAGTTTGGTTGCTTATCTCACTTAATCTTTCGATTGTGGCAGCATGTGTTTTTTAACTGTGACTCAAATCATGCTGTGGGTGTGCTGCTGCAAAAGCCTTAATCTAACTGTTCTGGTATTTTATCAGATAATGCAGG